GTTACACTGACGGATCAAAAACCAGCCGCGTGATGTACTCCTTGGGCATGCGGGGCAGCTGGTGGGAGAACACATTCTGGAGGCCGACGAGCCACATCAGGATCCTCTTATTGGGCTTCTGGTTTAGCGAGTTACCGATGACGTGGAATTCAATCACCCCCCTGCGCTCCTCTAGACGGGCAGCTTCATCGCGTGCAGAGTGAGCTGACAGCAGACTGGTCTGCACAGGGAGGAAGGCATAAAATAATGAGGATCACCTTTGGTCCTCCTCACTGTCCCTATCAGAAGAAAATAGCTTTACAGAGGTCGGCTGCACATCGCCATTACTAAAATTAAAGTAACTGTATGAAACATTGGCAGGAGTTAGATATTCAAATGTAGTCAATTATATATCATCTCTTGCCAAATAAAGGACATTATTTCCTCTATAAACTTTATATGGCTTTCTCAAACTCTTATAAAAGGATGATTTAAAGCAGTACTGTGTTTTTTTAAGCTAAAAATCAGTTTGATGTCAATAAATGCAATGTTTTCTATACAAGAATTTAAATGTAAATCAATGAGACAAAGCTTATGTTATTTCTACTGTCCACCTTTCAATGTGTAACAGTATTTCACTTCATGCTAATGAGATCCAAATAAAAGAATAAAGAATAACTGGTCACCTCTGGAATGGCGGCAGGGTCCGTGATGGTTGCCATGACTTCATTGATGAGGTCCATGGGGATGTCACCCACCACCCTGGGTCTCTTGTTTTCCTCATGAGGGAGAGGTTCAGAGGGTTTGCGCTTTTCACCAACTATGATGCACGGACACAGAAGAAAGTACTCATAACATGTCTCTTTTACACCTTCTCACCAGTTGAGCAGTGTTTCAAACAAAAGTCATTCAGCAGTTAAGGTCAGCTTACGAATAGTCTCATCTCCAATTGCTGCCTATGCATGATGGCAGAACTGACTTATTTTCAGTATGTCAGGAACAGTTCTGAGGTGTATTTCACTTCTCTTTCTTGATACAGTTTTAAACCCAAAATTTAAATAAGTATTTGAGGAAACAGGTTAGTTGCACTTTTTAGACCTTCAATTTGAAAACAATACTCTCTCTGAGGCAATGGGCGGACTTAAAGTAGTCAGACGGAGACTGTGAATCTTTGTTAGCTACTCAGGAGTAAATGCAACAGTAACACATAAACATGGTTTAAATGTGAAACACATGGCTAACTTTACCCTGGTGCTCACTGTTTACTGTCAGAGGTGAGATGTTATGTAATAGGGTGTTATCATTGTAATCGTATGAGTAATTACAGGTGTGACTGTAATACCTGGGTTTGGCTCCAGCACAGAAGCTGTTTTCCTTGCAGGACTGACGCTCCCACAGGTGGAAGGGTCAATCGACACAGGACTGGTGCTGTAGTACAATGGCCTGGCCACAGGGGGCGCACTGATAACTACAGACCAACAGAGAGGACATTAATACTGAAAGAACATGTTGTTATCATTACATTGTACAAACACGGTTTAAAAAAAAACAGGAGTTGGCTTGAAGGGTGTGTCTGCGAGGGTGTGAATAACCTGTGTGGATAGGGATCTGCCCTCCTGACGCTCCTGCCAAGAAGTCTTGGCTCCAGATTGGGGAACTATGGCTGTACACCTCCTCCTCCAGCATAGACAAGAACCTGAGCCAAAGAAAACAGTCGCAACCTGTTAAAAAGGGTGTCAAACGTCGTAATCGTTATATATGGCGATACTGAGAGTGTGCATCCTTCATGTTGTAGTGTGGGAGTGAGTCTCTGCTTGTGTGGCTAATTATATGTTAGTCTACTTAAGTTTGTGGTATATTTGTGTGTGTGCAATCTCAGATTTCTGTGCGTTTGTTTTTTTTACTTGGGGAAATGTGTGAGGATGAGTGTGCGTTTCTCAGGTGGCAGCTTGTCCTTTTCCTGTCTGGCCTGCTCCAGCAGTTGTTTCCTCATCACAGTGAACACCGAACGCAACAGCGTCCGGCCGAAGATCTGAGTGGTCTCGTACCGGGGCAGACTGTCGCAGAACTGAGGCACATTGCAGTAGCAGAGCCACCTATAGCAGCACAGACATGACTCGGTTTAGACACTGCGCTTGTTAAACAGGTGTGATGGATGTTAACATCTGGCAGCGCTGCTACCTGGTGTAGTTGGCTTTGTATCCAGCTGCATCATCGTTGGGAACCCTCTGGCGTCTCTGGGAGGGCGTCTCCAGCTGCCAGTAGTTGATCTGGTTGAGAAACATCTTGGCCAGCTCCATTATGGTTTGACGTTCCTTAGATGGGAGGTGGCTGAATTTGTATTGGACAAAATTGTTCACCCCCTGTTGAGGTAAGACAAAATAAATAAACGGGAATGCGCACACTCGAACATACTAATTTGTGTTGCAGTTGATGCACGTGTGATTACCTGCTCGATGCTGGGTTTTTCAAATGGAGGACTCTCCTGTGCTTCCAACATGGGTTTACCCATCTGTAGGATGGATTTCCTCAAGAGCTACAAAATAAAGTGGGAAAGCGGTGCGTTCACTTGCACACGATGCGGATTGTAAGATCTTGTGTTTGTATACTTTGACTGTAAAAGCAGAGGCTTACTTTGAAGAGGGAAAAGTAGACCTGTTTTGTATCAGCATCCTCCTCTTTGTGAACGCACGTGTAGAGATACTCAACATCCAGGACGATACCTAGAAGTCTGTTCATTTCTTCCTCGGAAACGTTTTCTAGATGGGTCACATGATCACCTGAGGAGAAAAGAATAAACACTTCAATGGTTGTAACACAGAAGTTAAATCTGTAATTATTATAAAAGTAAAGGTTCATCAGTGGCACCACACATACAGCATACTCTGTAGCATTTAGTATCATCGACTTGCTGACATACCCAGGGTGTGAGAGCAGCTCCGGCAGGGCTCCTGCAGGTTGACTGCGCTGGACTGCTGGTCAGTTCGTGGGGGGGTAGGAGGGGGGTTCTGACTTTTCCATCCATTACACTTGCAGGCGCCCTCGGCCTAGAACAGAAGACAGTTTAAATGAGTACAAGCAGGAATATAGATGCAGGTAATTCCACCTTGTATCTAATTTGTTTCTAATTTGTACATCACAGATTCATACTGAGCCACTCATAGTTGAAGGTATGTATCTGTTAAGATAAGAGCAGCTCTGGCAGGGACTGCTGTCTGAGTATGAATTTATGTAAAGTTGGTTATGGTGCTTTAGAACTGACAGGTGGAGTTACTGTTATCACTGTCATTGGCATAATGTCTCTGCTTTATAATCACATCAGTGGCAGAGAAAGTAAACAGTATACGACTGGTTGGCTCGTTTTATTAATAATGTAGTATTTTATTACACAGTAAATGGGCCGTAGCAGCATACATACATTTTAAAACGACACAATACCGCTCAGGTTAATGGAGATTTTGTTATGACTGACTTTGGACAGTATCAGTAGGTGGGGTGAGGGAGGCCTGTCACCGTCAGCTGGAGCTGCCGAACTGAGCATGCGCCTTGAAACAACAACAAACTCCGCCCCTCCAGCAGCTGTCACCCTGTCAAAACAAAGACCCCGTCCCTCTCTGCGGATGATACACTGCATAAACCCAATAAAGCCCTCTCTATGTCCCCGTGCATTGACAGACGGCGCGGGGACACGGTAACAATTCCAGTGAATATCGTTAGACAGCGCACGAACACACACACACACACACACACACTGGGATGCAGCCCCTGTGCACACAGCCAGCTACTCCCAAGTGCCAGCGCCAAGCCAATGTTTACGTTCACCAACCCCCCACCTAAACAGAAACGCTGTAACATAGAACAAACAGCTTGCAGCTGGAGGGCCAATGCTTTACGTCCTGCAGTAATAATGACGCTCTAACTAACTACACTATTCACGTCGCTTTTTTTAATAATTGGTTCGTGCATGCAAAATGGAAAAAAAATGAAGTGCGGCAATGGCTTCCTTTGCTGCGCTTGCATTTTGTAAACTATTGCAACCGAGCCCAGGAAATACCATCGGTAAAGAGCGAGCCCTCGAAAGCAGCGGGTTGAAAAAGTCAGCAATCTGCAAAAAGATCATACTTTGCAGGATGAATACACTCCGAGTTTTTCCAGTTTCTTTGGCCGAGGTGAGGAGCGGAGTTGCGCCTTCTTCACGGCGATACGTGCGGATCCTCCAGCGGCGCCGGAGCCCTCCGTCCCCCCGGCTCCAGGAGCGGCCGGAACCAAGCCCGCCGCCCCGATGGCCGGCGAACCTTGCTGAATCCCAGCGCTGTCGGCCATGATTCACACCGAACCCCCGACGGGACCCCCGGCCCGGGAAATATTCGCTGTGCCGTCCGCTGCTCTATTCCACAAGCGGAGGATCAGACATGGCGCTCATCCTTATTTTCAATTTCTCACTGTAGGCCCATTTTCCTCCGCTAGGGGACTCAAATGGGATAGGCCAATTCCACTACTATTCGGAGAGGAGAGGTCACAAAATGCAAGCATTTGTAGCAAAAAAAAATCTCAAGGTCAAATGTAATAGAAGAAAATCCTACTTGCTATGTGTGAGCCATGTGTGAGCCTACCGGTGGATCATGATCATTTCATGCAACATACAGGAAATTAGTAGAATTAATACCAGTAAATAATATTGAATAGATCATATTAAAATTAATTATAATGTTAAAAATATAGAAAGCCATTTTTTTTTGTTAATAGAAGAACACTTTGTTAAAATCCTTCAGTGAAAGAATATCTGAAATTTCAATCAAATGTATACATTTGGAGAAGAATTTTAAGGTTAAAGGTCAGAGATAAGCCACATTTTTTATTCAATTAAATGTCAAGTTGAGCAGTAAGAATGAGTAATACTAAGTCAGAACCTGTAATAACCAAAAATTAAAGAAAAACTGTTCAGACTATAAACAATGATCATCTGCGGGAATACACACACACACACACACACACTCTCACACACACAGAGATTGCAAAAATAAAATAAATGATCAAATTTATTTCAGTATTTATTTGGTCATTACATAACAGTACTGTAAAATGCTTGCATTTAAATGTTTTCGGCTGCGGTTAAGTGTTCACGGCAAAAAAAACCAAACATACAATTTACATCCTTATTATGTGTTAATTCATTTATTCATGAATCACCATCGTGCCAGCTGATAGTTGTTACACTGTTCCTACAATATCTTCACAATGTTACTGAGATGTTATGGAGGGACAGACTGTTGGTTAATCAAACAGTGTTGTATTGTGTCTGACTCCTCTGGAGCTTTTTACAACCAGTGTCTCTGGAAATTCAGGTCTACTTACAGGCAGGGGTACTGGACAAGGCATCGTAGCCTGATACCACTAAAAAAAAAAAAGAATTAGTGAAATGCAAGAAAGAGATGTTAAAAAATAGAAACCAAAATGTTTGGGTATTACTTTTTTTCTTTTGACAAAAAGGTACAAGACAGAAGACTAAATAAATGCAATTTCATTTTTTTTGTTAATAACACTACATACATTTATAAAGACCACCACTGATTATAATTTAACCATTTGTGTGAAAAAAAAGGAACAGCAACAAAACTCTAAACCCAGATTGTAGCTGTTGTATCTGCTAACTGTACAGTTCTTTTTATGATTATCTAGACAACTCCCTAGCAAGCGTTAGTCCTGTCACTGGTAAATTGAAAAAAAGGTAGACTACACTGCAACACCCTATTTACAGTATATTATTTATATATTTATATTTATATATATATATTTATATCACACTGGCTGTAATTATGACAAGATATATTCATGAGCATCATTAGTGCAAGGCATGAGTAAGACAGATCTGTAAAAAGAGTTATTGACCATATGTACTGTATGTGTGTGTGTGTGTGTGTGTGTCACTGCATGTAACAATGTAAAGTGGTGGGATGGTAAAAAGGTGTAACAGACTGTGTGTGTGTTTATGTACAAAGATGTTTAGGTCTGAGAGGGTTCAGAGGGGGGAAAAAGTCAATGCAATGTGTGGGTTCATGTGCAAATGTGTGTGTTCATGTGCAAATGTGTTCAAACACACACGCACGCACATAAATGGGCACGTGTGAGTGAGTCTATGGATGAAATCTGTCATCAGCCAGCCCGCCTAGGCCCAGTTTGTACACACTGACACACGACTGTGTCTAAAGCACTTTCTAATCAAGAGAAGATGACAAATAATTATGATTCAAAAGGTGATCATGAAGCAGCCTTTCATATTGCAAATCCCAACTCACTACCATTACTGCTGCTTTTCCATCAGGTGCAAACCCAGCAATGGTCTTGTAACATGAACGCAATGGGAAACGTCATCTGCATCAACTAAATCCTCCAAAGACATAAACCAAGAGGCCCAAGTGTGACCACAAAGGGGTGGTCTATACAAGGTTAATGAAAGGACACTGCATCAGGAGATGGAGAGGTGGTGACACTTGTGTGTACCTCAGAGGCGCCTTGTTGTGGAGAAAGCTGGGTGGAACGGGGTTTTTTGCTGTGCTGCATTGGTCCTTGCAGACACTCAGGTCACAGAGTAAATACTGTGAAACATTGCACAATGCCACTAGGGACAGCTAGAAGCAGGCATGGCCCCACAATGGAGCCTTAGGGTGGTGGAGGAGAATGTACACTAGTGCTACTTTGGGTTTCGTGGGGGAAAGGACATGGACAGCAAGGGCAAGCAGAGGGGATCAGAGAGAGAATCTAAAAGGACTACAGTTCATGAATGTTTTTAAACTTTAAGACAAAAGGAAGAGAGAGGTGTGGAGCTTAGGGTTACTCGGTTACTCTCTTTATCTCTCTCTCTCTCTCTCTCTGCCCTCCGCCGTTCCCCTTTCTCAGATTCACAAGAATAAACTCCTCTTCTCTAACAGACATTTTTCTGTGCAACTGCAGACAAAAGGTAAAACATAGTTTTTTGTTTTTCTATTTTAGGCCATGTAAGTATACAAGTATGTGCACCCATAATTTGACAAAATTATAGCAAAGAATAATTAACAAGATTATCAAAAAATGAACAAAAACAAGACTGGTATTAGAAATGCAGTAGTTAAGTCTAAAGCTATCCCAGAAAAAGGGAAGTGACCACTTCCTCTAAATGAAAGTCATATCTACACGTTTGAAGGAAGATGATGGAAGGCAGGGTGCACTAATGTCTCTAGTATCTGCTACCATTAATCTATCAATATTAACTGATAGATGTAACAAGCTGGATGGCAGAAAGAAGGAAAGAATGGTTAGGAGGCTTAACCAGGTAGCAGCAGAGCCGTGAGGAGGAAATCAGGCAGAGATCTGTGTAATGGCATTGACTTCATTACTGCAAAAAGAAGGGAGGGGGGCAAAGGGCATCTTTTCTTGTTTTGCAAATGAGAGAATTGGAGATAAGAGTACAACACATTGCATTAGTAACTGCAGTGGCATTCGGGGTATCAGCCACATTAGTTACTGCTATACAAGTTGGTTGGGGGGAAGGCGTTCTTCACGTTAGTTACTGCAGCATGGAGCCTTGGCTGGTTGGGCAGCTTCTGTCAGGTCCACTCCCCGGTTCCGACCGCTATTGGGTCCAGGAGCCTGAGGCTCACTCTTCGGCAATCTCTTTGCTGAAGGGAAAAAAACCAAAACAAATCAAACAATAAAAGAAACTGCAACCTTTCATTTGCAGGGTGTAGACCCCAACCTCACCTCCCCCGGTTCAGCAGAATAAACACTCAAACAAATATCTGTAGGATTCAACAATTTGGCTCTGATTACCACTTTACAAATACACTGGCAAAATCTTTGAAGTAAGTGTCAAGATTTACCCACCAATAGCCATAAATATCTCATTCACATTCATAGATGTCTTGGCCGACGTCTCCATGAAAAGTAAGCTGTTGTCATCTGCGTAGGACTGGGCATCCTGTCAACAAAATGACCATAAGTTGTTTCATATGTCCTCACACATGCGTGCACTCAGGGACAAGAAAAGACAATTAGATGCGCAAGTCTTGGCAGTAAAGACTAATAGAATGATCACTTGTAATGCATGTTCTGGATGTGATCACATAAAACAAAGCCACAGCAATAACCAATCGAAGTAGGAGATCAGTATTCCTAGAGATATGCAAAAAGGCTGACGGTCAAGCCACAGTTTGTTTGCTCTAACCTGGAAGTCGACAGCCCTCTTGCTGGCTAGGTCAGCCTTGTTGCCTGACAGAGCAATGACTATATTAGGGCTAGCTTGTCTTTGCAGCTCCTTCACCCAGTTCTTTGCCCGTGCAAAAGACTCCTGCAAATAGAAGAAAATAGTGAGTCAATACCTTCATGTAATCAGTCCCTTTAGAAGATATTTCCCTTCAAAGTCAGACATTTTCATATAGCCCACCAGCTGAATTTAAACTACAACTTGCTGTACAAGGGAATCTGACTGCATCTTGAGGACATGGCAAGTATCATCTGTACAACTTAAATAAAAAGAGTAATGTTGGGAAAACTGTATGAACAACTTAGTCTGGGGTGAATGAACGTGCCTCGTTTGTGATGTCGTAGACCACAATGGCGGCCTGTGCTCCTCTGTAATACATGGGGGCCAAACTGTGGTAACGCTCCTGACCTGCAGTGTCCCAGATTTCAAATTTCACTGTTGTGTCATCTAGACACACTGTCTGGGTGAGAAAGGCCGCTGAAAGGAAAGGATGAGGTGAGGGGTGAGTCAGCTTCAGATAATCAATATCTACACCAAAACAATGCACTTTACAATGCCATGTAAACAAAACAGGTAATAAATATATCCAAACAAAGCATTATCAATGTTTCTATTATGTGAGACAAAGTGTAGCCCCCATTGTAGAATTAAATGAAAGTGGAAAAGAGACAGATGTTTCTGATTTTGTAACTCTATTCAAGTTCCACTTTATAAATGTGGCAATGATACGGACTACAAAATAAAATGGTTAACTTCTGCAAATTATTTTTACTGGAGTTTTAGAACATTTATTTTAAGGTGCTGTTGTGACAATAACAAAGGACCCAATTGTCTGTAAGGAGGTCCACCTGTCCTGAATCTCACATAATTTAGTAAATGCTTGAACAAAGGAAAAATCCGGCAAGCACAGACACGAGTATACCCGTCTGATCTATAAGCGACTGGCAGCTCATGAGAAATAGCCTGGTCTATTGACGTGAAGCTCACCTCCTATTGTGCTCTCCTGGAATTCGTGGAACTGACCCTTGACGAAGCGGAGCACTAAGCTGGACTTCCCAACGGCTGACTCCCCCAACAGCACCAGCTTAAACTGACAGATCTTGTTCCCTGCATTGGGTCCATTGGGTCTCGTAGCTCCTCCCCGATTGGCCATGACCTAGTCAGATCCCCTGGAGTCCTGTGTGCCTCACTATCAGGACTTCTGCTGCAAGAAGCAAGAGAAGAAATAGGTATAGCGACTATGAGCAAGTAATTAACATGTGTTAAATTTTGCTCAGAATAAACGTAACAAAACATATCTGCTTAGAGTGAAATATATTCCAGCATTTTATGTAAACAGTCCAAGTTTCTCAAACACTGACAAAATTCAAGCGTGATAACAAAATACTAACAACAACAGTGTCTACAGCTGACAGCAGTTACTTAAATAAGCATTTTTTCCCCCTTTGTTTTGATATATTGAGGGACTCTACACGGCTCAAAATAGAACAAAACATTTTGTTTCCGACATGACACATACACAAATAAAACCTACTGACTATTCAGTATATCCTTTTACTTGGGAAGTTTGTGGTGGTTTGAGTAATGACTTAGGGGACTTCATCTGCCAAAAGATTAGGTGTATACAGTGCATAAAAATAAACTTCTAGCACTCGAAAAAAAAGTGGCAAGACTGATCTACTTCTGTTTAAGTGAAGAGGGTGCAACTATGTCACTGTGCAAAACATAAGCCCTGACCTGGACTGCATTGTCTTTAGGAACATGTGATATTGGGCATTTCTAGAATACTGAAGAATATTTGGAGAAGACAATGAAACATACATATAAACATTGGCCTTAATGATGCAGCTCAACAAGACTAAACAAGAAAATAATAATTAATATAGTACATGTGGTTTATCAAAATGAACATTAGACAGCACTTTTACTGTAGTTAAAGACACTTTCTTTGACAATGCCAATCAACTCAACTCAAAACAGAGCCAGTGCATATTAAGTGATGCATTTCACACCCTTCAGACCAGTAGTATCACACTTCAAGTTTTTCAGAGGCCACACAGTTTTTGTAACACCCTAGCTACATTTTCCCACAACAAAAGTAGACAAATGTGTGTAAAGTTATTATATATTATATATATATTGTTTCACCTCTGAAATAATAAGTTTACATTCAAAGTATGTAGTGGATACATTTAAATGTTAATAAAATAAGGTTTCCTTTACTTTCTGTTTATTCATTTATATATTTATTTCTAAAAGTAGTTTGAAGTAATTTAAGTAACTCCATGTTAAAAGTACCTGAAACGTTTAAAGTTCATGCTCAAATATAATTGTGTAATCACTGACGCAGTTTTTCCACAGTGCCTATATGAATGAGGCAATGAAATCCCACCACATCATTACAGTAACAGCCAGCAAAGAAACCCTTGTCAAGAACCACAACAGTTTCAAGAGTTTTCACCCGCCCACATTACTTGAGCGTGTTACAACTGCGAGAACCTCTGTATGGGTACATGCCATGCATTCATGCATTTCTTAGTAACCTATTTAGGATCGAACTGCTGACTAATTTGTATACAACAGACGGCTGTTGTCAGGAGATAATCACAGTCTACGTCTGATTTTGCAGAGAGTATCTGTCCTGAGCATGATTTGTGGAATCCTATCCCTAACCACAAAAATGATTATTAGGAATTTCACCGTACACCCCCAACCAACTCCCTTATCCAGGAGACAGATAATATGCCTACTGAAAAAAAAAATACAGATACCGTATCATACTCACATATGGTCAGCTTTCTAAGGCAATAAAGTACAATGGCTCTGCAAAAAAGCTACCTAGGTAAAGCATACGAGTCACATTTTTACTGATCCTGGTGTTGATGGCATCTATGGTGACGTTTGAGGCAAGAGTTTATGATGTTGCTGTATTGTATTATATTATATATTATAAAAGGCTGTTGTATGAACTTGTATTGGAAAGTACAGATGCTTAATACTGTAGTAGTATAGTCAGTTGTATCTATATAATAAAGCAAAGACAAGTCTAATCACCTGTAGTGTGGTGTCAGTCTGTCAAGTGCTGGCTTCATGACTGCAGACTGCTGTCAGTCATCAAACATCACAGCATCAACATATTATCTCTGGATCGCATATGAAGAGTACAATCTCTTCATAGCTGTAGTTTTAAAAGTCTAGAAATAGGACAACTAAAGCAAATGTTTGTAAAATAAATGTGTGTAAAACTTTAACTTCTGTTGCAATACCACAGGCTCTGCTGAATTAATGTCTAAATAAGTTTGCTGAATTAATGTCTAAATAAGTTTGCTGAATTAATGTCTAAATAAGTTTACTAAATGCATTCATACACATGTCCGATTATTTTCCTAATATACAAAACAAACCAGGGAATGGGGAAGAACGCTGTGCTTTTAAATAAATAAAAAAAGGCTTTGGGACACCAAAGCCTATGAAAGTGACTGGTGAGGCTGTTAACGATGTAGTTAGATCAGGCGTTTATCCTGTACTTTAATCAAAAAAAAAAATGGACAAGAAATCTTTTAAATGGAGACAAGCGAGATGAAAACAAATCCGCAAAAGAAACTGCGTTTACTCAGACTCATGACAGGGACTGTCAACAAGCGCTGCGCACCGCAATGCTCACAAAATACTGTGGATTTGACTGTCTTTAGTTGACTGTAAACACACTTGCTCATGTCAGCTGTAGTATGAGTCTGTTTAGAGTTTAGAGAGGGACGCCATTTTCCAAATTGTTTTTGTTGTCTAGCTAGTTAGCCTACTTACTTGCTTGCTTGCTTTTAGCCAACCTTAGCTGTCTGACTGGTCGGTAACGTTAGCCTCCCAAACACTTTAAGAGAAACATACAAAAACAGGCTCAGCTAGCGTTACATAAAACACAAGTACCGTTACGATGGGTTAACAAGCTGGTCGTTGAATGGCTAGATGGCGTTATCAAACTGTACCGTTGTGCTGGCTGGCTAATGATATTTAATGGGGAGTAAACCAATCCCTCAATTAACAAACACCAACGTTAGCTTGCTAGCACTGTTAGCCTTTCTCCCACTGACCTGAGTCCACCCAGTTAGCTGTTAGCTACCACAAAGTCAACTGCAATCATACCGTCATACAGCTTGCTATACGAGACTACTGCTTCTGGCACCACATCGACACAGACTGGACTTGGCAGGACGTGACAAAGGCCTTGTATTTCTGCATTCCCATAGCTATCAAACATCACCGACATTAGCTGAAGCCAGCTAACGACAGCGCTAGCTAACGTTAGCGTTAGCCAGTCAGCCAGCTGGAAACCACAACTTGTCGATTCACGTAAAGTACGCTACCTGAGAGCCAGACGATGTTTTGAACTTTAAATACCACCGCTGTAGTATTTACACACGGAGCCCGGGGACACGGTGGTGAGGTGCTGTTGGGGAACCAAGGAAATAAATTTCAACAATCCCGTCACGTCTCTTCCTTTCTTTCTTCTCGCAACTTCCCCTCAGAACCAAAACACAAACAAGCTCTTCCGCCCCCCGTGCCACGTCACACAGCGCGTCTGCCCTCCAGAAATCTCCTCCTCAGCCAATTAGAGATCAATAAATCCAACAGCTTCTACTGGTGACAGTAATCGATGTAATGATGCGATTCCATGACATATTTTTCAACATATTTATGGGAAATTGGTTCGTTACAGTTGTTCCACTCACACAGCGTTAAAGAAATAGTACTTATAATGCAAGAGCTAACACCATAGAATAGAAATGGATGTATAGGTATATACATATAGTAAAAGTAAAAATAAAAAATAAAAATAGAAATAAGAGATATAATAAGATAATAAGAGCCTATATACAAAGTAACTGTAAACATATTCCACAGTATTGCTGACAGAAATATACAAAAGAAAAATAAATAAAAATAGTAATTTGTTTTAAGATTGCAGAAGTTATAGATAATGACAAAGAATGACATAATAATCAAGTGAATTGCACATTGACCTGGGTATTGCACCTTAATCGACTTATTGCACATTAACATTACCTTTGAATATATTGCCTAGTAATACTGTATATTTTGAACATCATGTGTCCATAAACAAGGATCCATATTTGGGTCAAGATAAGTCAAGTTTTGTTAATGTTATTATAACCATGCAACTGATGTTTAAAGAAATGGTTCTCAACCTCCTTTTTTTTATATTCATCACTTATAGGACTATCACTTATAGGACAATAGTTTTAGTGTGAATATCAGTGGCTAGCAGTTCAATCAAATAAGTATTTTTCTTTTTCAGATTGTTTCATTGGATCAGCTGATGAGGTGAACATATACATTATTTCACAAGAAAAAAAAGTGCACAGGTATGTGTACCCTAAAGGTTCCTGTTTTGTGTTTTGCAAACATCTACCATTAGTTATAGTGGTCTTAGGAAAGTTCTTGGAAAGATATTTTTATAAAACATTTACAAAACCTGTGGGAAATGTTCCCTGAAGGTCCTCAGGAGGTTAAAAGGTTTAACCTCTGACCTTAATTTATCTTGTGACTCACTGGCGTGATCAGAACCTAGGTTGATTAAAAAAGAAGAAGTAAGAGGGATTTGATATTTGTAAAATACAAAAAACAGGGAAAGTGAAACAAGCATTTCGAAACTGTTCACATAATCTCAAATAAAAAATTGAGATGACAAAACCAATACAGTTCCCCTTTATCTAATGGATCCCTCACTGGTGAGGAAAGATAAGCTCCTACATGAAATGTATCACATTGATCAAATAAATATTTATGCAAATGGAGTGTTATTTGAATGTACAGTTATATCATATAATATATTCCTTGCATGTCAATAAATACTTGGCAAAAGACCAGATTCTGGTAACAACAGTGACAGGACAGAACTGTAATATAGTACCAAGCCGAAAGGTGGCGGTATAGTGGCGTTAATGTCCGAGTTTAGCGGGACGAAGAAGAACAAAGCTCCGCCCTGCTCCCTCGTCTCTTCCGGATAAGGCCATATCAGCACATTTTATTTATTGTGGAATAAATATTTTTATCTCCTGCTTATGTTGTACCATATTTTATAACACGGACACCATTTTACCTTGTATACCTGCCGGCTGTCAGCTTCATTCAGCTCTCAGAGACTGCCATTGAACAAAGTGAGGAATATCCAGCTATGGAGGGGGAGACAGTGGAGACAGCAGAGGAGCAGCTGGCAAAGCAGCACCGCAAGGAAAAGAAAGATATGCAAGGTAGGTGACCTGTTCTCACGCGTTGGTTGTTGTTAAAATGTAACCTTTGCTATCAGTTTGTTTGCATCTCATGTGTAGTTTTATTCCCTGGAATGGAGCTCAATGAAACCACTAGCAAGGCAAGAAGTAGAAAATATTCCACAGGAGACCATTCTCAGCACACTGTTGGACCCATAACTATAACAAGAATAATGTTATAATTTTTAGGTACTTGCCAGACCATTTGTGCAGTGTGTTTTTCTCTAGTGGCTCACAGGGATTGTAGTTTTAGGGGTAAAAGTCACACAGAATCACAGAGAGCAGACAGTTGCTGCTGCACGGATCTCTGTGGGTTGAAATGCCACAATGTGTAAGCTCTATTTAACTCATGGAGAGATGTGCAGCAGCAGGTTTCTGTCACATAAATGTTTTCTGTTTTTCTAACCAATACACAAACATTAAGGTGCATTGAGTGTATTTTTCATTTTGGTCATCCTGGTTGTCTGATTTATTTTTTTAACTCTGTACATAGTGTGTGTGTGTGTGTGTGTGTGTGTGTGTGTGTGGGGGGGTTACTGATGTATTGTTTGGTCAGACAATCTGCTCTTGTGCTTCATTTTCAGCTAAGATCCAGAGCATGAAAAATGCAGTCCCCAAAAATGACAAGAAAAAGAGGAAACAGTTGACGGAGGAGATAGCCAAACTAGAGGCTGACCTCAGCCAGAAACATGAGGAGGAATTTAGGCAACTCAAATCTACAGCTGACTCAAAGGTAAATGTCTGCAGGCAGATATAGATTCTACATTATGAGACATGGCTCCCTTATAAAAGATGTACCCTTTTCAACACAATGTATCATTTATTGCACAACAGGTATTGTTATTAACACATGTATTGTTTCAAACTACACAGAGATGTTAATTAGTTGTAGGTACATTATAAAAGAAGCAAATGCATACCGAGCAAAGTGTGCACAGAATGCATTTTTCCTTTAAGGTGTAAGATTGTATCTCGTTATTCGTACATGAAGTCTGTTTATTAGATAAACGTCATTTTGCGAAATAACTAAAGCTCTCCTCACTCACTCACACAAGTTGGATGAGGTGTTAAATGGAGTGGAGACCATGAAGATGGAGGATGGAGAACAAGAAGATGTCAAACAGCCACGTGTAACCAAGGCCCAGAAGAGAAGGGTGAGACACAAGCTCCACCTCAAATAGGACGAGTTTGTTATTTCCCACAAATATATAACTGTATATTGACATAGTCATTATACAATGGACAAAGAACATTTCAGTGTTCTATCATCTTTCATCCTATAATCTATATCCATATCCATATCTATATCTATGATCCTTTTCAGGACAAGAAGGCTGCCCAGGAGAAGGAGAGGGAGAGCAGGATAGCAGAGGCCGAGGTGCAAAACCTGCAGGGTGTGCGGCACCAGGAAGGTCTGATGCTGGCTGAGAAACTCACGCAGCAGCAGCTTCAGATCAAGGAGATCTCCTCTGATGGCCACTGCATGTACCGTGCTGTTGAAGATCAGCTGGCACAGCGATCAAAGGTACATATTGTTGTAGGGGTATTAATACCTGTAGCTCTAGTTTGGATACCTAATCAGAGATGTGATAAGCAAACGTGCACTGCGTACGCTATTTGCCACAGAAGTTCATACACAAGAAAGTACATGTTCTATTCTGTTTTATTCTAGCCTGGATTAATCATGAGTGTGAAAGAACTGCGGTCCCGCACTGCTGAGCATATGAGAGGCCATGCCGATGACTTCCTGCCTTTCCTCACCAATCCCAACACTGGTGATATGTACACAACAGGTGACCTTTATGTTAGTTTTGGTTCTTAGAAACAATCTGCCATAGGCATATTAATGACCACAGATGGTATGCATAGATATTCCATACAACATTATGTTTTGAGAAAGTATTTATGTGCATGCACAGCACTCATTTCAAGTGTGTTTGTTGATTTCCAGACGAGTTTGAGAAATACTGCAGCGACGTGGAGCACACAGCATCTTGGGGTGGACAACTAGAAGTGAGCTGTTAAAAGATCTGTCCCAGATACACCGTGCTAGTGCTCCTTGTGCTTTTTCAGTAATTATTTTCTTCTTTTTGTCTTTTCCCGAACAGCTGCGAGCTTTGACCCAAGTTCTGCGCTTGCCAATAGAAGTGATCCAGGCCAACTCGGCAACTATAAAAATTGGGGAGGAATTTGCTAGTGAACCCATCACCCTTGTGTACGTTGTGTATATGTTATTATGTCTCTTAGGGCTTAAAGTCATATTAGTATAATTATTAAAATATAACTTCAATTTGTAGAAAGATTTGTATATGAAGCTGAAAAGATTATATTTATATTAGGTTGGAAAGCTGCGGTGGCATCAGCCAGAGCATTTATTGCAGTTTTTTGCCTTCTGCCATTTTAAATATAAACTGTAATTATGTAAAATACGCATTTATGATAGGCTCAACAAATGTCTTCTCTCATAGAGCATGTCATTGCTCTCACCAGTTAAGATCATTGATATTCAAAACATGTACTATACTTGTTCATGAGGGACATAACATGGCAAGTGTGGCTCCTCATGTAATAACATGTAAATATTAAGAAATTGATATCACACACTAAAGCAGCTTTAGATAAACTCTACATAAACTATATTAAGTGATTATTATTAAGTTCTAAATATATTTTATCTCATTCTTCGCAGCTATATGCGTCATGCCTATGGACTGGGAGAACACTATAATTCTGTGGAGCGGCTTAAGGACCCAGTCAATGCAGAGGACAGCTGAGAGACGCCTCCGTCTTGCTGTGACATAAACCAGTGTGTGTAACACAGCGAGTGTTCAAACCACTCACACCAAGGGCCCCTAAATACAAATGTATTTGGAGGAAGACCCCCCCCCCCATTGAAGACCTTGAGGTGGCAATCAGGAATGCTGCATTAAACGCATAATAGTGCTTTTCTGTTTATAAGTCAAAAGCTATCGGTGGGGAAAGTGAAATCTAATAAAACTGAGAAGAGTATGCTAATGAAAAATAGCAGAGAAAGGAAATTAAATGTGCTAATGATTTTACACTGCACTGTATTGGTCTGTCCCAATGACCACAGGGTTCCCCTTAGCTCATTCTGAGTAGCAATGGTGTAACACATGTTTTATCCAAATCCTCTGGGGCAGGATGTAACAGCTTTTGATCATGCATGCCACTCAACCTAATGTCAGCACTGAGGGGTTGTTCGACGTTTGCACTGTTGAACTGAATTGTTGAACTTGTAAATCATATCAGTGTTACATAAACACATACAATACTAATAAGGTATGTCAGTGCTTTATTTTTTAATATGTCTGATGAGGAAAATGGTCTTTATTGATTTTTAAATTAATACTGTTCTCAGCATGATACTGCGAAAGATAGCCATTTATTTGATAATCACCTTAAGAGGGACACACACATCAAATTCATTATTTGCAGGTGTTTAGCAACAAATATCTGTACAGAAAAAATTAAGAAATACCTGCACACTACTGTCTCAAACTGTCCCAGTTCTGTTATTCTACACAGACATGACATTTTGACCACAAATGGTCTCTCTCTGTTAATTCAGAGTTGGTAAAAATCCGTTTGAACCACTTTTGAAACCATAATTTTGCAACTGCCTGCTACCACTGTACTCTCTATATATTGGTATCCACACTTCATATGCAGGTGCATTGGAGCAAAATGCCCCTGCGCGCAGACCTTCTCAGTCCCTGACACTATTGTTTCTGATTGTATACATACTCCAATCTGCACAGATAACATTGTTTTTGTCAATTGCTGCCAAGCAAAAGTGCAGCACTATAAAAAAAACCAAAAAAAAACAACAATTTACATTAATAGGATACAAATAATAAATAGCTCTTACACGGACAATAGCACAAACCAGCACCTCGACCACCTACATCAAAACTCCTAATGCATCAGTAATAATCATTGCTAAAGGAGCCATCCTGCATAATGAGTACTTTCACTGTACATTTTGCAGATAACACCTCTGTGCTTTTATTAGTAATAGTGTTCTGTATTGGGGTATTTCTCCTTTTACCAAAGTAAAGGATCTAAGAAGTTCTTCCACAACAGGAAACTCCTATGAACTAAGAATTGTACATTAACATTTATCAACAAACTGAAGCACGTGGAAACACCATGCTATAGCCAGATGTCACCACTAGAGGCCACTAGCACCTCATGTGCAAGTCAACCAGCGTCTTGTCGCCATGGAAACTTGAACGCGAGTGCTCGACGTTGGTTTTTGCAAAAAAAAATGGCTGAGTCAGTGGTCAGAGCTTTATACGGTAGAGGGACTTCTTTAACTTTGGCCTCGAAGAAAATAAAAGAGGTTCCCAAGTGTGTCTCCAGATTAACAAACCTCTCGGTTCTCCTGCTGAACAACAACTCCATCAGCGCCCTGCCCGCCGAGCTGCTCTCCCTGCAACACGTGAGTCTCCTCCGGGTTGTTCGCTCCGAGCTCATCTGTTCGCTGGAGCATTTCCAAAATAACTCTTTAAATGTTTCACACCACACCACGCAGATTTGTGATTAAATATTGTTTCTTATGAAATGCCTGCAAGCTGGCTGAGCTGAATTTGGGAAATAATGCCTTGAAGGAGGTTCCCGCTGTTTTGGGCCATCTGGAGTCCTTGAAGAAGCTGTATCTATTCAGCAACCAAATTACAGTCGTGCCACCTGAGGTGATAGGTAAGATCTCACCGTTCTGCATGATTAGCACCCCCAACCCCTCCCTAAAGAAAAACTACCTAAAATGAACCCATTTATTGTCATATTTATGTTTTACAGGTGGCTTACAGAACCTTGTTGTCCTCAATCTGAATCACAATCAGATTCAAAGACTTCCACCAGAGATTAAAAGGTACTTTTATCTCCATACCTGCATTTAATATTTGTATATGTAGGGTTGCAGCAGGTATATTTATATCATGATATACCAAGGTATGACAATTGACGGTTATCATACCGAGTACATTTACTTATCTGCTGTATTTAATTCTTCTGTATTAGTCTTGTTACAAAGACTGTCACAAATGTTTTCATTCCTTCAAGGCTCATTGTAACTGATGATCACAATAATTTTGTAATAACTTTTACCATTATATATAATGATCATACTGTGAAAATCTCACACTGTTGCAACCCTATGTGTAAGGCTGAATCCTCTCTGTGGTTGGCTGATAAACTTATTTTCATCTCTCTCTCTGGTCAAGAAATATGTATTTCTATGTTAAAAACACAGATGCCATGTCTTTCCTGTCAGTTTGAGTAGGCTTCAACGTCTCAGTGTGCTGGACAATAAGCTGGAGGAGGTTCCTGTTGAGTTGGGCCATCTCACGAGTTTGTCTGAGATAAACTTGACTTCCAATCATTTGTCTTGGCTACCTCAGCAGCTGTACCAGTGTAAAGAACTAACCAAGTTGTATGTAGCCAGAAACAAGCTGACCAGCCTACCAGAGGTGGGTATTCATTCATTTGATGTGATTTAAATGTCTCATACAATAAAAAAAAAGAACTCAACACATTTGACAGTTTTTTCCAAGTTTTTTTCATGTTTAACTCAAAGAATTTCAGTTTATATTTAAATAAAGTAGCTTTTGGGATATTAAGCGGCATCCACATATTAAGCCTTACCTTTTTACTGTGCGATGTGCCAGATACATAACACTTGCCTTACATTTCACCCAGGGAATTGGGACACTGGCCAAACTCCAAGTTCTGGATGTGGCTGGGAACAAGCTGTCCATGTTCCCTGTTGAGGTACATTGAACAGTATAATTCAGCTGCACAATGCTGTGCCGTAGTCTAAATTTAAAAATATGGAATTACAACTTCACTGTATGACAGGCCATTGCTCTGTGTAGTTTCACCTGCTGCCCCTGAAGGAGGTCTACTGTGAAGGCAATAGGTTTGTGCGCTGTGAGCCGATGGCATCAGTGCAGGATGCGGAGGTGCTTTCATTAAAGGTAAAGTGAACAACAACACTTACCATATTTATCATCCACTGTGTAAGATGTCTCACAGTATGGCTTTGTGTTTACTCATTAACATTATATTTGTGTATTTGCACCTCATTGTTCTTGTTTCATCTTTGTTTCCCAGGAACTGGTTGCCAGATTTGTCTTGCGGGAGGACAGGAACAGGTCCTCTCTGGTCCACAGGATGCTTCCCCACTACCCGTTCCTGACTGACCTGTTGGCCAATGGCAGCCGTTGTGCGCTCTGCCTGGGCCCCTTCCTCACCACCTGGCTGGAGTGTGTGCATTTTATCAGACTGAAGGTGTGAAAAGATTTTCTTAAAGATTGTGATTAATGAATATGATTCTATGGCACCTGCTAAGGCATAGATGGCTGCGTCAGTGATACTGCATTTTAATAGGATACGATGTGTAGTGGCTAATGAAATATACGTTGTCATGTTTATGTGTGTTACAGGACGTAAAAGTGAGGAGTTCGCTGACTATTCCAGTGCGGGCCCTTCTTTGTTCATACAAGTGCTTTAATGCAGATGGACACTCCTACTATGGTGTTGCTAAAAGATAAATACAAGTTTATTAAAAAGGTACTTTCTATGATCTCAATCACTATCACATTGTTTGTTTAACTTAAACTGTGGCTACAGACACAGACATGAGATACCTCACAGAGACAGTGCATTTCTGTCAGTAGTTACTTATGTTGAAATATAATTATATGGTGCAGTGGTGAAATGTAACTAAGTACATTTACTTTCATTTTAATGTATGCTTTACTTGAGTATTTCATTTTATGCTACTTTATACTTCTGCTCCACTTTCAGAGAGAAATATTGTACGTTTTACTCCACTATATTTATTTGAAAAAATGAATGGTCTTAACATAATTACTAAATAAAGGTCCAGCGTGTAACATTTAGGAGGATTTATTGGTAGAAATTGAATATGATATTCATAGGTATGTTTTCATTAGTGTATAATCACCTGAATTATTGTGTTTTTGTTACCTTAGAATGATTGTTTCAATCAATATCTACAGACGCTGTGGGTCACCTTCCTTGGAGTCTGCCATGTTGAACCGCCATGTTTCTACAGTATCCCAGAATGGACAAACCAAACACCGGCTGTATATAGGGGCTTTCAGGTTTTTCATGTTTTTTGTGAATTTGCAGTCACTGTAGGTTCTCCAACACATTTCACAACCCGTTCTCATTCCCAGGTTGTCATCCCAGACGCAAGCGGTGTTCAGTTAGTCGCAGTCTGCAACTTCATTGCTAGATGCCACTAAATCCTTCACACTGGTCCTTTAGAATAGAAAACATGTGATCAGTTTATAAAATACATTACAGTTGTGTGTTTGCAGCTCCACCATGGAGTGATGTCCACTCAAAACATGGTTAAACTACAAAACTGTATGTAAACCAGTCAAAGTTTGTTCCAATGACAACAGTGTTAACAACATATAATATATGTCATTTATAATAATGTATCAGTCATGGGGCAAAACAAGTACTTTTACTTTGATACTTAACTTAGTAAATTTAGTTAGTAATACCTCTGCACTCTTACTTAAGTAGGATTTTGAATGAAAAACTTTTATATGTAATATATGTGTAGTATTTTCACAAGGCGGTATCACTTTAGTTAGTACTAAAGTGAAGGATCTGAATTCTTCTTCCATAACTGATATTTAGTTTATGAGGTTTTTGTGCATTGAAAATCTCACAGATGTCATTTAACTCTGTGGACACTAGATGGCATCAAATGAACATTGAAAATTGGCAATCTAGTTGGACCCAGTTTTACTGTAATGTTTACTGCAGGCTTCAGTTGGTAGCCTGTAGTGTATATTTATGCTGTGTGCCAATAATAACATTGCAACAGCTGTATACAAGCCAGTACATGGTGACTTTGCTTACTACAGAGTACTTGTGTACTACTACTACTACTACTACAAGCCTATGAATACCTAAATTAAATATAGCTGTTTTTCTCACATTGGTTGGTCAGTTCATGTATGTAATATACTGTATAATTGGAAACCCTGCGGATACTTTCACCATGTGTTCAATAAAAAGCCTAAATGGAGGTACAAACATTAGTAATAGTAGTTCAATTTTGTATTGTGTGTTATACTGACAGGTGTTTCTATTGTTTTGTCCACCTCATCTATACAAAAAGAGTAGCCTAAATAACAGAAACACCCATCTGTATAATGCTATTCAGTTGAACAATAACAAACTACATCCTCCAATAGTTTTAACAGAAAAACACATTTTATTATAGGACTGTTGTATTAGACTGCTTTAGTTGTAGCTTAGCATATCTAATAAACTGGCAGTATATAGTAAAGTCAGACATTGCTGACATATTCTAATGTCTAATTCTAATAATACCTAAATGAAAGTTTTACTAGAATTTATCACCTGACTCATATTTTGGCTGTGTAACTCTAGTGAGATCCTATTCCCCTGTCAGTGCTGTTCAAGCTGTACTGACTCCATAGCTGCCCCATCTCTATCTCCATCTCCAGCCAGTGGCATCTGTTCCAACCTGCCAGACAAGAGAGAGATAGAGAGAGAGGGAGGGAAAGGCAGAGAACTTCATTTCTAGCAAATTAATTTCCCATCCACGCCTCCAGAGCTCGGTAGCTCGTTCACTAGCTGCTGCGGCCGCTGCTGCGTGTGTCTACTGAGTCGGAGCCTCATGCATAAGGCATCAGGTTTAATTGCAAACCCAGAAACTAATGACTTTGGACTGGTTAACAGCAGGGGAGCCATACATCTCGAGCAAACTGAATGAAAAATCAGCTCGGAGGAGAGAAAAAAAAGGAGCCTAGCCCCTAATTGATGAATAATTGAAGCGGCAAGCTACAGGGCATAATTGTGACATTTTGTTTCAATCAATTTCCAAGTGGTGTGGGCGAAAGTGCACTTAAAGGGAAAAGGCAATGACAAAGAATGAGAAAGAAAGAGAGAGATAGAGAGAGTGGTTGGTGATGGAAATGGACATCGGGTCTTCAGTCATTACAGTGACATTTGCTGGGGCCAGACTCATTCAAACACAAAATGACTTTTTTCTCAATCTCCATCATACTTTGTAGGTTTTCTGTCAAACTTCTGTTCACTTTTTTCACTCCCAGCCAATGGATCCATATCCCTTTAAAACGATTTATTTTGTTTATTTTCACTTGCCATATTTTTTTGTTTTACAAAGTAAAGTTATTAAAGTAAATTATAACTCTACTGTCCATGTAATAATAATAATTAACATAATAAACTTTATTTATTTAGGGCCTTTCCAAAACAAGGTTGACAAGGTGCTTTACAGGGGCAAAAGAACGAATGAGGAATAGTATGGGCTGATTTTTGTGTCAGTAGAAACTGAATTTGAATCATTTAGAACTGAATCTGAATTGCTCAACTTGAACAATTGCATTAAAAAACTGAATTTGAATTGAATAATTTGAATTTGTATTGTTTAACTTGAAAAACTGAATCTGAATAGCATAATTTGAATTTGAATTTATTAGTCTGAAACTGAATTCCAATAAACTTGAAACTGAATCTAATATTATGAATCTGAATTCACTTGCAACTGAAACTGTATTTGAGCCTCACTAAAAATTCAACTTTTTATGTACTTTCAATTTCAGTTCTCTCAATTCAGATTCAGTTCTCTCAATTCAAATTCAGTTCTCTCAATTCAAATTCAGTTCTCTTAATTCAATTTCAGTCCACAAAATTCACTTTTAAGGTCACAGACAGGTCAAGGTCCTTGAGGAAGAAGCAATCGAGTGCAGAGTAAGGCTACATTCTTTTCAACAGCCAGCAGAGGGCGACTTCACTGGATAAAGAAGCCCAGTTCTATCAGAAATAATGGCAAAATAAGTTTCCTCAGTTATCTCATTAAACATTTTTCTTGTGAGTTTTGGATCTTAATCGTCAGTTTCAAGTCCTTTTCAACACAGCATGATGTTCATTTAAAGGTGTAACTTCCGATCCTATTTAGAGGAAAATAGACGATAAAGCAGGGTATGCTTTAGGGCGGGGCTACTATGTGATTGACAAGTCTGTGGCTACCTGTCAATCAAGCTAGAGTGACTCTATCTACTGCACTGTAAATTTGAGCCCCGACATAGAAAAAACTTATTAGGAGTCGGCTGTTAATTTATTCCGGTTAGTACATTTTGTTTTAAGCATGTTTTTCGCTAGCCAAAAATAGTGTCCTGATTAAAATCACAGTTTAACATGAATTAATCAAAATCCCTACAAGCTAATGTAACGTTTTCTTTTTTCTCTGGCCGACTCGGACGTAACGCACTACACCCCCCCCGTTGGACGGAGCAGCGGGAAAGGAGCCCCATAACTATCGGTATCGGATCGAGCTCTGTGCATCTGTACTCGATTGCTCTTACTGAATGACCTTGACCCATCTATGACCTTAACAGGGAATTTTGTGGTTTGAAATTGAATTGAGAGAACTGAATTTGAATTGAGAGAACTGAATTTGAATTGAGAGAGCTGAAATTGAAAGTACATAAAAAGTTGAATTTTTAGTGAGGCTCAAATACAGTTTCAGTTGCAAGTGAATTCAGATTCATAATATTAGATTCAGTTTCAAGTTTATTGGAATTCAGTTTCAAACTAATAAATTCAAATTCAAATTATGCTATTCAGATTCAGTTTTTCAATACAGTTATTCAAGTTAAACAATACAAATTCAAATTATGCAATTCAAATTCAGTTTTTTAATGCAATTATTCAAGTTGAGCAATTCAGATTCAGTTCTAAATTATTCAAATTCAGTTTCTACTGACACAAAAATCAGCCCATAGAATGATCAGTGTTAACAATAAGATCAATAACACAGTGGATAAAACAATACATAGAATAAAGTAATAATTGAGAGCGCAGAAAAACTGAAGCGAGGCTTCTATCTGTTTAAGTGGTTGTGTTTGTGTTTTCAGCAAAGCCTGAATTCCTTTTCCAGTCAGCTTAGTTAGTTACTGTCTGTGAGTATGAGGGCATCGGGCCAAATCAGTCAGTGTGGTGGAACTAAACACCACACCAGTCTGTCTTGGCCTCGTTGGCGTGGAGTGGACAGAGCCTGGGGATCAGGCAGACAAAGAGAAGCAGCCAGGGCCACGAGGGCTCATTACCATCTGAGCTTGTCAATTTGCACTACTTGGGATGAATCTTGGTTTAATTTTCTTCTTAAGATTCAGTAAATTATCACTATACTATAATGCATGTTTGCAACACACATGAATGCTCCACCTAAAAACAGAAATTATGTAATAATATCACTAATATTATCTCCAACATACAGAATCATCACTCTTATCTAACGATACTTAAAGAGATAGTTTTGTCTTTTTCACTTTTTTTTTGCAGAGAATTGGATGAGAAGATTGATACCACTCTTATATTATGTTATTGTATGTTTATGTTAGAAGCTAGGGTCAATAGCCGGTTAACCTGGCTTAGCACGAGTGGAAATAGGAGAAAAACAAGGGACAACAGCTAGCTTTAGAGGTTGCTAAAATGTATTAATTAGGGAGCTTTGGTACTGTGGATTTTGTTGTACCACACACAGAGCCAAGCTAGCTGTGTTTCTCCCCCTGTTTCCAGTCTTTATGCTAAGCTAAGCTAATTGACTGCTGGCTGAGGCTTCATAGTTACTGTACAGACAGGATAGTGATATCGACCTTCTCACCTAACTCTTGATAAGAAAGCAAGATAGCGTATTTCCTAAAAACAGCTCCTTAAGTGAAACTTGCATAAGACAGGATTTTTGGAACCCATTTGGCCATTAAGTCCAACTCTGGTTTATTATAAATATATGGCACTTCACAGGGAAATTTTGCCTGGTTATATCACTGCAGACTTTGCTCTCCTGCCTCCGGCACTGGAAGAGAGTTGTATGTTCACACATTTACATTCAAACTTTTTAAAGACTTAATTACCATTACTAAGATTACACAGACACCATTTTGTTCTAGGGTGAATTATGCCATAAATTATATTTTAGATTTACATAATGACCTCACAATGGAAATTCGTAAATAGTTTTAAGCGTTGTATATGAATGTGGCTAATAAATAGGTCATTCCGCTGGCACCATATTGATGGGTGAAAGGACAACAGTACGTGCCTTCTTGAAGGCAGCAGATGTTGGGTCCTGAAGCAGTGGAACAGCAGCAACAGTAGCAGCAGCAGCGCCACTAGCTCAGCGGCCTCGGGACTTGTGTGTTAGTCGGTCTGGTGTCTGGTGTCAAGCTTTGTGCACATATCCACGCATACACATACGCCTTTCTAACACACTCAAGAAAAGCAAATACAATCACTCCACCCACTGCATTGATGACACATCATCAAGATAATTTTGCCCCCATCGCTTTATTTTCATCATGTCGCTTCACAAAACACATAGTCACACCCCCACATGTGCGCAGACACACTTTTTCCATATCACTGAGTTGTCCCTTATGATTGCCATTTTCAGAGAGCCCTGTGTTTTTGCACAGAATAATTCTAAAAACGACGCACAGCTTGATTGACGTGTATGGAAATGAGGAGGTTGCATCCTCAAAGGAGACACCATACGGATGGGAGCAGCACACTGACGAGAGGCATCTACAAAAGGCGCTTGTAAATTCCTGACATGCCTAGCATATGTTAATGAGCCATTCTCTCGCTCTGATATAATTACTACGAGGGGATATTGCCTTTGGTGGAAATATCTGTCTCGCGTGGCATGGCTACCTCATGGGGGTGAAAAAAGTAAAGAATGATAAAGTAGCGGGTGCATAAATTCTCATTTACCATGCTTGGAGGTAAAGAGACTGATGTTGGCAAATTCACTCAGGATGATATATTGGGGAGAAGGCACCTGGGGTTCATTACATACCTCCTTTGTTAAAGCTCTTTCTGCAGTCTTGTATCGTTTGTTAGGGGGTATTTAGTCTGTCTTGTCATTTGGAGCACTTACTTAGGATGTCTTTAGAGGAGCCTATGGCTGCCTGAGCTCACGTTGCATCTTGGGGCTGGAAAGGCAAGTGATATTTTATCTGAAAACAGAATAAAGGATACTGGATGG